CAATGATAGTAAGAGGTAGCTTTTTTATTTCAAATTTTAAGAAAAATTTAGTTATTTTACATAAAAAATTAATATCAGTCAAAAGTCAAAGGACTATAGAGTAATTTTAAAATTTATTGGTCCTTGATTGATATAAATTTTTTTCAATAATTATTGGTTGATATTTTTTCTTTAACTTATTTATTTGAAATTTGAGATGTTTTACGTACCTGTAACAATTTAAGTTCGTCATAAGCTTTAGTACTTGTGAAAGGGGCTGCGTGGTTCATGTTATTGGTTTAGGCTCAGTGATACTTAAATCTGACCAAGTTACATAGCTATGAAAACGACAATTAATAATTCATCCAAAGCCAAAACCAACCATGAAATTCATAATATGAACTACATATATAAAATTTAATTAGCAATATTTTTCTCATCAATAGTAATAACAATAACAATAAAGTTTAAGCAAAAGAATATATATACTTACACTAATGAGAGTTGATTCACGTTGTTTAACACGTATTCAAAAGAATGAACAAAATTGTTCTTCAAAGAAGCGTTATATATGTGTGTGTATATATGCATATATGTATGTAAAATCTTACCTTTCACAGATCTCGATACATTTTTTGCTTTCTTATGCTTGCTCTCTGTTTGAATCAACCTGAAAAACTCAAGCTCTTATGAACAACATAGAGGACTTTGAATAAGAGGCAAGGTTTTGACCTTTGAATCAGTCTGTCTCGCAAGTAATAATAACCAAAAAAGCAAAAATGAACATGAAATTACCAATTTGTCAAGAGAAATATATGCAAATAATGTAATTAGAAGAGTTATAAAAGTTGTGTACATATTATGTCTACTATTTTTCTTCATGGTAATTGATGATTTGTTTATATAAAAAGAAATGTATATGTAGGTGTGCATAGTTATGTGTATTCTTGATTCGTATGTAATTTTATAAGTAAAATTAACTGTTATGTAAAAATAAATATAAATGTTTTATGTTTGAGTTGGTAAACCTAAAATAAAACCGAAGGCAGGAAATTAATAAGTGAATTTGATGGGTATAATAGTCAATTAATCGATGACCATAAAGTCCAAGGCCAAGGGGAATTTTGGAATATCCAGTAAGAATTATTCTTTGCGCACAGAAGGAGGAGACGCTTGCTAAAACAAATTACCATGCAGACATAAATTACAATGATATTTTAATCAATGACTAAATTTTTGATCCGTGCGATGTATGGAAACATTAATCCATATTGTTTAAGAGAAATAAAGAGGAGAAGATTGAAAGTTAAATTTTATTTATTTTTTAAAATAGGACAAATAAAAATAACTATATATTTTAATTTATTTAGCAACTGATATTAACTATATTTGTTTTATTCCTAGTACAACATAAGAAATTTTTTAGTTATCAGATTATACACAAATATAAATAATAATTTATTTTATTGTCACACAATTTACTTTAGAATATATGAAAAATATGATTAACACTTTATTTTTAAAAATGTAAGATATTTTTAACCATATTTAATAATATTTTAATAAATAATACATTGAATGAATAGGTATCATATCTTTGATAAATACTCTCCCGGTCCCAACTGAAGACATTTATATATCAATAAATTTTATTAAATATATTTAATAATTTTCTTTTTTTTTTTAAAAAATATAAATTTCCAAGTACATTTTTTATTTAATATATTGAAAAGAAAAATGAATGAAAATTAAATAAAGAGAAAAAAATAATATTAAAATAAATATATTTAATAAAACTTTAATCTTATGAAAGCATTTTATATTTGGAATGCTGAATTTCTTTAAAAAATATTTTATAAATTTGTGCGGAAAGAATATATTATGTATAAATACCTTTTCCACCTTTTGGTTAGGATGAGGTGTAATCAATATAATATATCAAACACCAAGAGGCGGTGGCATGATGTGGATGATAATTATATGAGCCCTTTAAATATTATTTTAAAGTTTGATTTTTGAAAACGTATATAAAAAATATCATTTGAAAGAGAATAATTTTTTAAATAATGCTCATATTTTTTAAAAAATTAGTCCCATGACTGTCAGTCATGTGAATAAACCTATAGGGTAAAAACAATACTCCCTCCAAATTGTGTCTAGTGATCGATGTTGAGGAATGCGATTTTTAATGGAGTGGAATAGTTTTTTTTTTATAACCAAAATGACGTGGAATTTAACCAGTTATTGAATTTTTTACATCTTTTATTGGTACACGTAATTTTTTTTTTGTTGAAACATGACTTATTATTTCGACTACTAGAGGAAGTATCATCGATATATCTATATATGCATATAAAAAATTTATGGCAAGTTATACTGTTTAATTATAAGCCATCAATGATATAATTTTTTTAATGGAAAAATTAATTTTTTATATTTTTAACTTTTAACTCACTTATAATTTGATCTCTCAATTATAATTCGCCACGACTTAGTGCCTCAATTATAACTCACTGTGACCCAATCCCTTAATTTTTAATTTACTTATAAATCGATCCTTATTTTTCAATTTTTTAAACAAAGTATCCTTATAAAATAAGAGGAAAAAAGATACTCATATCTTGCTTTAAAATACTTTTATCTTGCCCTTTAATGTGAGATTTAAACTAACATGAAAAAAGAGAGCTAATAAAGGTTGAAGGATTGAGTCATAGAAGAGTCAAACATTGAGGAATTGAATTATAATTGAGTCAAAAGTTGAAGGACTGAGTTACAGTAAGTTATAGTTGAGGGATTGAGTTACAGGTGAGTTAAAAGTTAAAGGATTAAAATATTAATTTTTTCTTTTTTAATCTTTTTGGTTTTTCAAATTTTAACCTAATCATAACTTTATCTCTTAATTATAATTTATGATGACTCAGTTTTTTAAATTTTTAACTCAATAATGTCCTAATCTTTCTTTCAATTAAAAAAATTGGTCCTTGTCACTCATAACTCATCATAAGTCATCACCCCATCATCCCATGCGGCAAAAAACGTCGCCAATACTGTTAAAAATTGCTGTTGTAGCTTCCACATTTACAAGCTCAAAATTTATGTCCGGCTACTATCCTCTTCCGTGACCCTTTTGGATAATCAATTAATCATCTCACCAAACTCGTTTCGCAACGTTTACTTTTCTCATTTCGCTTGTGGACCTAACAAACCTAAATTGGATCATGTTTGGAATGTATGACCAAGATGGCCGTGGAGGCACTGCACCTCCGGCCACCTTATGGAGCTCAAGTGGACTATAGTTGTTTAAACTAGACTTGTTTGAATCAAATTTAAAATACCTTAACATATAAAAAAGCTCATATAGTCGAATTTGACTTTAACCCATCGAGCTTTCGAGTTTATTTGAGCTGGTCTGACCACCAAAATTATTAAATTATATTATATTATATTTTTTATTATTTATGTAATTTCAATTTTTATTTAAAAGTTTCATATTTTCAATTTTTATCTTATTTTATAAATAATAAAAAAAGAAATTCAAGTATTCATACCAAACTTGAATTTTTTTGAGTTTATTTGGATGGCTCGAATAAGTTTAAAATAAAGAAAATATTTAAACTTTTAAGTTCGGCCGTAAAATTTGTCGAGCTTATTTGAATCAGTTTGTCAGGTTTAACTCAAATTACCGCTCTTATGTAGTAACAATGCTGGAGGGTACAAAGGCAGGGGAAGCACAGTGGTGGTGGTTGCAGTGTGGTGAGAAAATTTGCGTTGACTGTTCAAGTAGAATTGTTGACCAATGGAATCAAATGTGGCAAGTGATATATGGTGAGTGGACTAACACGTCGAAAAAAAGATGGATGACGTGGATCAACGTTGCCTTCCATTAAGAGGCCAACCAACTACACCAGCTCTCGACCTGTACTCAGTTGAAAGCTTCAAAGAGGATCGAAGCTTCATTGAAATGTTGGTCGAGTTTATTGAAGGCATGGTTGAGTCAACATCCTTTCGGATGATGGGATTTAAGTAGGAGGAGGCTCGCAATGCTAAAGCCATGTTGTGAGGTTTAGTATATGAAGGTCCAACAAGGTACTGTCATTGTGGTCAATTGGTTCCACGATGGACCTTATGGAGTTGGGAGAATTTTGAGAGAAGGTTTTATGGTTGCCCTAATTAAACCTTTAAATCCAAAACACTTGCCCAAACAATTTTTTTATGCTTTTAAATGTAATATATTTACTTATTTAAATGAATGCTCTCTTCGGTCTTTGTTATAAGGAGGAGAGATTGATGATTTTTAATATAAGGTACTTGTTGATGTATTAATTATATATTTTTTCAACATTACCTCTATTTAAATGTATTAATTATGAGAGAGAATGGAATATAAATTTTAAAAATTCATTTAAAAATGGATAAAATAAGAAGTTTATTCTTTTTCATGCAAAGTTAATAATTTAATACCTCTTCTTAATTTTGATGAATTAGTTAGAGATATCTTATAATAAAAACATGAGAGAGGCTACTTTAGTAGATAGTTTAAATTAAAATTAAATCTAATAGTTAATGACCAAGTAGGTGTGACACATATGATAGTAGTTTGAGCCATTTAAACATTATTTTATAAATTGATGCTTGGGCAAGTATATGAAAAAATATCAGTTGAGAGAGAACAATCCCTCAAATTTTTTGAGGAATCAAACTCATTTTTGTCGGTCATGAGGATAACTTGCACAACCCAAAAAGAATATAGTAGTCAATGACTGACCAAAACTATATGGCATGCACGGCCAAATAAGACCCGTCATGATTTTGATGGACCATAAATGAGACCGTTAGTAATCCTACACCTCTCAACTAAATAAAACAGCATTTAAATGAGTAATATAGCTTTTGCATGTGCATATTTGACATGGCATTAGCTGTAAACTAAGATCATTACTATGATATAGATAGACCACTTGTGTGTCTATCGGAGAGTTTGCTTTGCTTTTTTCAGTATAAAATCTGTTCACTTGCACCGTTATACGACACCAAGTTCTCATCATGGCTTCTTATTCCTTCTTCCTTCTCGTCTTGCTGTTTGCATTTCTCACCCCTCCTGGGTTTGCCAATTTCGTCTATCATGAGCCTCCAACATATAAGCCTCCTATCTACAAGCCACCAATATACAAGCCTCCGATTTATAAACCACCAATTGATAAGCCTCCTGTTTACAAGCCACCGATCTACAAGCCTCCTGTTTATAAGCCTCCAGTCTACAAGCCTCCCATAAAGAAGCCGCCAATCTACAAGCCTCCTGTTTACAAGCCACCTATTTACAAGCCGCCAGTCTACAAATCCCCTGTTTACAAGCCGCCAGTCTGCAAACCCCTTGTTTACAAGCCTCCCGTTTACAAGCCACCAGTCTATAAACCCCCAATTTACAAGCCTCCCATAAAGAAGCCGCCAATCTATAAGCCTCCCATTTACAAGCCGCCAGTCTACAAACCCCCAATTTACAAGCCTCCAGTCTATAAGCCACCAATTTACAAGCCGCCAGTCTATAAGCCTCCAATTTACAAGCCTCCCATAGATAATCCGCCAATTTATAAGCCTCCTATAGAGAAGCCACTGGTCTACAAGCCTCCTATTTATAAAATCCCAATTGAAAAATCTCCAATTTATAAGCCACCTTTTTACAAACCTCCAATAGAGAAACCACCCATTTATAAGCCTCCCGTTTAAAAGCCTCCCATTTACAAGCCGCCACCCATTTAGTAACCCCAAATTTGGCGTGTCACCCATGCATAAGTTTCTACATCATGCTGTTTACAAATCTCTATTGCCTCATCGACCATCAATTTACAGGCATCCATGTAAAATAATAATATTTGGTCTCCACGATCTCAAGCACAACACGACAATGTCTCTTAATTATAGACTATCTACGTGTATGTTTGGCACCTCGCTGTATCTTTATGCTGCCTACAAAAGTATTGGACGAGTTTATGAACATGAGCATCTCACTATTGCAATACATGAGTAAATCAGCAGGAGTACTGAGTGTGAGAGTCAATGTGTTGTATTTTGATTTCTTTTTATATAAAGTATGCTTTCTGCAGATTGAATCTAGCTTTTATCTTTTATTAAGTTCCATTCTGTTGATATGCTCAAGTTAACTACAACAATCCATCACTAATACTCCCTCTAATCCTTAAATTAAATATAAGGCAAATTTTAAGTACGTGTTTGAGAGAGTTTAGAATTGAATGAAAGGAATGATCATTATTAGAATAGAATGGAATAGAGTGAAACGGAATGATATGAAATTTTTATTATTTAAAAATTTTATGATGAAAAGGAATGGTCTTACTATATAACTATTATTTAGGAGTTATTATAAAATGAATAGAGTGTAAATAAATTTTTATTATGCTATCTTTCTCATAAATTTTATTATTGATTGAAATGAAAAAGAAGTAAAAAGATCATGTAAATAGAACAGATGTAAAGGAATAACTTGAATTGTATTTTATATATATATATATATATATATATGAAATATTGCAGTACAAACACCATGTCGAATGAAAGCAAACATGCTTGATACAAAAGAAAAACACAGGAGAGTGGCAACGCAATGAGGGATAGGAGGAAGAGGGATATGGTGAGAGAATGAAATAACATGATATATTTAACAGGATTAGAGATTAGGGGTAATTTTGTAAATAAAATATTTTCTTGTAGCCATTCCATCCTTGATCCCCCAATTTGGAGGATAGGAAAAAAAATTGAATTTTCGGATGGAAAATGATGCGTTTAGATGCTGCTCCTCGTCATCCCATTCATCTTTAAAATGAACTCCTAACACAAATCTTATAGCCACTCTTATTCTGCCTTAAAAAAACTCCCAAACATAATATAAAAGTTTTGTTTGTCCTTAATATAAGACAAAGTTAAAGTAATTAATATTTTTCCCAAGTTCACCCTTTATTTATTATCATTTAAATTTAAGACAACAATTTATCATTATATTAATTACAAAGAAGGGCAAAAAATAGAAAAGTATATATTTTTAAACAATTTAGTAATGCTACTATTTTTTAAGGGAAAATCAATTTGTAAATCCTTATAGTTTTGCTTTATTGTGAATTAGGTCCCTATAGTTTCTCTATTTTTAATTAAATTCTTAAAATTTAATCTAGGGTTAAAGGGTAAATCTTTTCCTAGAAATATTTCTTGAGGTTAGATATTTATGGCTTTCTATTATCAAATCGAGTCTTATCTTAGATTTTTTTTTAATAATATGTGGAGCTGGTACTCTTTAAACCTCACTGCTACAGTGGGCAGAATGCTGACAATTGAGAAGAATTGTTTGTTGTTACATGCTGGCTTATATGGAAATGTCAAAAGAGAGAATTTATGAAAACACCATTATTGGAAGTCAACAACTTTATATGAAGGCTAAGGCTATTGTCTCTAGTTATAGTGATAGCACGGCTATGCTTGAGACAAGTCAATCTTCATGAAGTCTTGAAGAATGAAGGGAACCCCCTTGTGCTGCGAAGGTTGGATTATGGTTCATGTTGATGGGGCTTATACTCACGTTAGTGATGTGAGAGTCTTATTAGAGATAATCATAAATCTCCATTTGAAGTTTTTTTGCTTATATTCTAAAAGGAGATTCATAGAGCCAGAAAAACAGACCGAGCTCGTAAAGCCTATCTGTTTAAGCCCGTATAATAGGAGGGCCGAGCTTATAATTAGGACCTTAAAATGGAAAACGGTTTCAAACAGGCTGGCTCATTTAGGCCCTAATTTAAATGGGCTGGCCCTAAAGGGCTGAGGGCCAGCCCATTTAAGCCCTTGAAATTTTTTTTATTATGGACATAATGAGTGAAAGATTAGTGGGCTGGACAAAAATTGTGTAAGTTAGAGCCCATATTTACTAAAGGACAAAAGGAGGAAATTTTTTTAAAAAAAAGCCAACCCTAAGTTCTTAGTCTTGTTCTCAGAATCTCAGTCTCATTTTTGTCATTCCCACTGTCTCAATTTGTGTCCTCATATCGTGTGCAGTGGGTGACAGTAGTAGACGGCGATCTTTCTCTTTTAGACTTTATTCTTTGATCTTTCTGACTATCTTAAGGCTCTTATCTCCCTCTCACCTCACTCTCGCTCTCGTCTATTGCTGTAGCAACTCCACCGTCGACCATCATTCAATCTACATTCCTAATCCTGTTCTTAGTCTCACTTTTGTTAGTTTATGGCTTTGTGCGCAATGGGTGGTGTAACATCCTGATTTTTATATAATAAAGAAATTATGGAATTTAGGTTTTGAAAAAAATGATAATAATAGGAATTTATATTATTTGAGGTTATTTAGAAATAATATTATGGTTAGGTATTTAATTATGAATTTAAAAATTTAAATTTAAAACCACATAAGCAATATTTAATTAAGATATAATACATAAATAATTTTTTTATGTGTGTGTTAAAAAAAAAGAGAGAAGGTAGAAGGAATAAAAAAAAGGGTGGAAGGTTGTTATTTCTAAGTCCCACATTAGTTAGATGAGGGAAGAGATGAGGTGCCTTCATGTATAAAAAGGAGGGGGTGTGTGCATTAGGAAGCATGAGAGGCTAAGATGCAATTTAGAGAAAATTGCAATATGGCCCAAAGGTTTGAATAATTAAATTCAGACCTATAGTTTTTTTTAATATAATTTTGGGACCCAAAATCCCATTTTTATATTATTTTTCTCTCTTCCTCTCACGTTGTTCGGCGTTTTCTCGTAAGGGGGGATTATTTTCTTTTTTTCAGGTATGTTCTAACTTTCCTGTTTAGATTAGCATTTAAAAATTTATTTAATTACAAAATTAATTATTATAGTTATTTTTTAATAATATTAGCTTTCTAGTGATATGATTATTTTGTAGGATAGAGTAAATATTTTGATTAAGATTTTTCTATAGGATAGTTAATCTGATGATATGATGGATTAAAAATATAGGTTAAAGCTCTTAGGGATATAATAAATATTATAGAATATTTTCTTGAGGTTGAAACTCATGTTTAAGAATTTTAGAGTTAAAATCTAGATCTATATGGTTGAATTTATGTGGAATCTGAGATGTAGGGATGAACCTCTGATTATTAAATATTTACTTAAATATGAATAGGTATTTTTGAGGTTATAGAAAGGTGATTTGAGGCTTCAGGATAATTCTAAAATTTTTATTTATTTTTGAATGAATTTTTAGAATATAGAAGGATGAAATTGTGATACTAGAAGTGATTTGAGGATAAAAAAATAGTTTGTTAGGGTATGAGAATTTTAGAAAAGAATTTAGAAGTTAAATGAGGCATAAATGTTAAATTAGTGTTAATATGGATTATAGATCTAAGACTTTCTAACTTTTTAAATTGGAGTTATTTATTTTAATGCAAAATTAATATATAGTATTATGAAATAACTATGTAGATTGTGTTGACAAAGATAGTGGTGAAAGAGGAGTTGTGAAGGGGAAACTTGTTATTCAAGACACAAGGTAACCATTATTAATGGTTGTGATGGGTGTGTTTGTGAATGGTTATGTGTTGTTTATTATTTGGAAAAATTATGAATTATTGAAAATAAATACTGTATATACTTGTTTGAAATTATTGCCAAGTGGGTTAAAAATTATTTTTGTTTATCATGATGAGATATTATTGTTTGGATATATTTCTGTTTGGATATTTGAATGATACATGACTTGTCAGGGTATTTTAATGTATGGTGTTAATGGAAATTTCTGTTCGGTTAATTATTACCACGTGGTAAGCCCTTATTGGACCCAATGAGTGGCGTGTCGCTTGGTCCAACTCACCTTTGGCCGGGTGATTTGGCGTCCGAGCATGGTGAAAGGAGGATATAAGGTGCAGTCATGCAATTAAATACTTGTTCGGTTTGTTTGAAAATATTGTTTGGTTAAATGTTTTGTGTGCCCACTTAGCAATCGCATGATTAGTTACATCCGCATGCATCATTACATATTAATTTTTGATTACTGGGACTTTTAAGTCTCATTCCTCGTGGTTAATATTTTTATAGGAGCGAGTCTGGCCGAGAAAGCACCAGAGGTGTAATTATGTGTATGAGACACCATCTTTTACGTTGCCTCTTATTTTGGATTATATAATGTATCTTGTGCCAACTTAGGACATATCTTCTTTGTGAAGCATGTAAACTTTAATTCTTTTTATTAAAAGTATTTATTTGACCAAGAGGATTATGTTTGTCCCTCTTAATTCATGACCTAATTTAAATATCATGCCATGAGGATCCTGTCTGTCCCTCATGGTTCTAATTGCTTTTTGAGATATTTTAAGACCTGTGGTATATGTCTTGGATGTACCATGGTAAAAATTTTTCTACCATGATAAGGGTATGATAAGGGTTCAATGAAAAAAAAAGAAAGTAAAAAAAAAAGATTTGTTGAATTAATAATTTACGAAAAATCGGTTTGTAAATTTGAGAGTGTTACATATTGGTATCAGAGCATCATGTTTCAAGCCTCTATTTTAGTAATACTTATTTAAACTTTTGTTTGAAACTATTACTCGTGTGAATTTAATATGTATTTATTATGTGTGGTGCATTGCATATAGTCGGTTGGCAATATACATTGTTATGGTGCTTCTCATTGTATGGCCATTATATAGCTAGGCTAATTTTATTATTTATATCTTGTATCCTTTAGGA